AAGTTGAAAGTAATCCAACTGATGCTGTTTCCAATTTATATCAAAAAATTTTCCAAAGCTCAACAAGAATTTCTGGAATTAAAGCATTAGGATTTGAGTCAAATGACATTGTTCAAGAATTATTATTAAACATTGAATTTAGACCATATTCAATTCAAATTGAAAGAATTAACTTATTTATTTATGGTTTAGGTATTTCAAAAAATAAAGAATTTTGTGGAGCTGGAAATGGATACATATCTTCCTTTAATTATAAATTTTCAAATAAATGGTGTACATTTATTCAAAAAATAATCAATGATAAATTTATAATTGAGATATGGCATGAAGATGAATTACTTAAAGAAATTAAAAAAAATGATCCAAATGATGCTTGGAAAGGGCTAGGAATTCTGAATAAATATGAAGGAAAAAAAATTTCTGGTTTAAATAATAATGTAACATCAGTAATTCTGGAAGAGTTGAACACTTTGGCTTGTACTCCAAATGATTGGGATGATGTGGGTTTAATGCAAAAAATATTTGATTACTATCTAAAAAAAAAAACAATTGCAAACATAAACTGGTATAATTTTTTTTATCAATGGCATAAACAAAATTCTAGTATGATAGAGCTTTATTCCTCTTTAGAAAAAATATATCCCTTAAATCATAAGTTTAGTGATCGTGAATTACAAGCATGGAATGCAATGTTAAGAGCTGTGGGTTGTACAAATATCACTCCTTTCAGTAATAAAATTTCACCTGTAAGTTAAAAAAATAATTTCAAATGATCATTTTTATCTAAATGAGCATACTAATTAATTAATATACAAATTATCATTTTTTCATTTCAGTATAGGTTTTGGACTAGAGCTATTGATCCTAAACCTGACAAAAATAATATTGATTTTTTATATAAATCTGGTTTTTTAAGTGCATATCCATCTTACAATAGTAATGAAACCTTTTGAGTTGTTTCAAGCAAAGCCTTGATGAAAATAAACGAGGGTTAGATGGAAGGCAGAGAATACTGTCCATTATTGCACAAGATTTTTCATATGACACATTACAAAAAAAATTAGAGGTAAAATTTTTCAATAGCATCTAATAATTTATTTATATATAATAAGCTGTTTAATAAGCTGTTTAATACAAATATATTTTATTAGGTTTCACCCAATTCTATATCAGGTGCAAAAAAGTCTGCACAAATTTATGGGCGTGGATGTAAGCCTTTAGAAAAACCGGTTTATACCCAAAGATCTAGAATCACAGAAGAGATAAAATCACAATTTGATGCTTTTTTTTCTGATAAAGCTAATGTTTCTATGAGCTCATTTAAAGTTGATCCTAAATCTGAATTACCAATATTATATTTACAAGATCAGAAGCAATCTTTGTGGAAAAAATACTCAGAAATATACCCAGGTGGAATGTCAAGGACAACCTTCATGCTTCAATTACAAAATGGTAGGTATAAATATAGAGATGACTTAGGTGGACTATGTTCAATTTGTGCTGATTATGGATATGGTGTATTTGATGATTTAAATAAAGTTGTAATAAATATATAAATGATAGTAATATTCAGGTAATTATTTTATAATATTATTTATAGTATATTTATTCATTCATTTATTTATTTATTAATTTTTTATTTATAGTATATTTATTCATTTATTAATTCATTTATTAGCTCATTTATTTATTTTTTATTTATAGTATATTTATTCATTTATTAATTCATTTATTAATTTTTTATTATAGTATATTTATTCATTTATTAATCCATTTATTAATTTTTTATTTATATCATCATCTATATATAATAGAAAGAATTATCTGAAGAAATTCAACTAATTAGAAGGCACATGAAAAAAGATTATGAGAATGAAATAAGGATTATTAATATTGGTGAAAATGGGGAATTAAAACATGATAAGTATCTTGATCATTGTTTGCTATATGCTTTTGGTACATGTAATGAGGAGCATAATTTAAGATGCAAGGGTTGTTTAAAATTCCATAATTTTTTTGAAAAAATAATTCCATTATTGCCAGAAAATGAACTAGAAAATATTGAGAATTACAGGGAAAAATTATATTATTATTTAGCACATCAGGCAAGAAAAGTTTATTTAAATACTCAATTTCGATCAAATTTATTAGAATTAGATGAAAATGGTGTAATAATCATCGACTATAAAATGAGGATATTGCCAAAAACAGCTCGAGAGACCAAAACTGAATTTTTTGGGAAACATGGGTGGACATTACATTCAGTATTAATGTACACCAAATCAGAAAATCAAGAAAACTACAACATAATTGCATATGATCATTGGTCTGATGATACTAAACAAGATGCATGGTTTACAGCATCTTCCTTAAATGCAGTTTTTGAAACCATGACAAAAAAACCAAAATGGGTAACAATTATTTCTGATAACGGGCCTCATTATCACAATTCAGAATTAATGATAATTTTGTCATATTGGAAGGATTGGTATGATATTACAATTCATAAATGGATTTTTCTTGAACCTGGTGAAGCTAAAACTACAATTGACTCTC